CATCAGTCGCACATAGGAACCCACCCCTCATGATGCAACAGGTGCGTCATACGCATTCAACGTGTTAAATAAGGAACTTTCTATATTTTGTATGTGTTTATTCTAAAATACAAATTTATAATGGTCATTTAAAATCATCAAGCAAGTGAAGACTAACCTTAATTAAAACCCTGTTCACATGTGGACTAGGTCTCATACTTTCATATCATGGTATATCTAAATTTCACATAATGGGAAATGTATACACACAATGCAATGCACAACTATACAATAAATCTACATTCACTGGCAAGAATTTTTAGCATTTCGTTGCAAGAAACAAAAGGCAAGTTCGGTATTGACATCTAGATGCTCTAGATATCTCTTTTGTCTTGTCCTCTCTTACAATTAGGACAGAACAAAACTCATCTGGAGCGTCTAGCTAGATGTTAATACCGAACTTGCCTGAAGTTTGTTGGATAAGTGATAGTTTATTTCTTTCTGAACATTTTTCAAAGTTCTACCTACATAAATATCTGGTGATTTGATTAAATGAATTGTTTCCAGTTTTAATCTACCAACAGAAGAACTGAAAATAATATTTCCAAATCTCAACCTTGTAAATATTTTCTAAAATAATAGGATTGTTTAAATCAAATTTGATGTATTGGGTCAATACTCCATAAAATTATATATCATAACTCTTGCGCAACCAGTGGCGAGCTAAGGGCTCAATTCAAGAAGACTGGTCGATTTTCTTCTTGTCGCTTACATGATGTGTTTTGCTGGAGGCGGTATTTAACAAATTCATTTTTATGTGCTCCATTAATATAACATTTAACTCCAACATTTATCAGATAGTCCCAAAAGAATTTATAAGTCAATGTGAGGTTCACAACCCCAGAATATAATCGTTATACAAAAAAAAGCTAAGTACAAAATTTGATTATTCAATTCACACTTACAATGACAGAATGTTTCAATGGTGAGGTAGAAACTGTAACAGAACAATACTGAGTACTCGATTCATTTTTTTCTTTTTCAAAACTCTTGTTCTAATTCTACACCACCCACAACTAAAACTAGCTAATATTTAGAAAATACTCAACAAAATAAAAATACAAAATCAATTTACAGCAGATAATTTAACTAACAATTTATTTACATACACTGGGAGAGACCTAATCAATCTTCTCCCTTAGTCTTTTCTTGAGAAATATCGGAATGAGAGATATTACACCGAACACGGCCAACCATATAAAAGAATTTATACTAAAGGCGCTATCTTCCGCAGTCATGCTCTGCAAAGTTTGCCCACCCTGTATTGCGATAAATGAAGGTGGTGCGACACCCACGAACGTGCCGAAAGCGAAAGGGGACAAAGGCACTCCAATCACGGGAGCGGTTAGATTTATGAACCAATTTGGCAGAAACGGGGTGACCCGTAAAAATACCATGTAATTAAATAAATGGTCTTTGTGTTTGTTCACTTCTAAGGCCCATTTCTCGGCTCTTTCAGGGAAATATTTCAACACTAGCCTTCTACCTAGGAGCTGGGACAGTAAGAAGCAAAGCGCTGCGCCTACCATTGAACATGTACAGACTAGCGCTAAGGCTATAAAAAATGGAAACAAGAATCCTGACAGTATCGAGAGGAACAGTGATCCTGGAATGGCAAATGTCTGCAAGCTGTCAAATAAATTAAGGAAAACAATGAACGTTATTTAAAAAAATTACAATCAAATAGTTTAGTCTTTTTTTAGAATTCATTACAAAAAAAAAGGATTATTTAGAAAGGATACAATATGTAAGTTATAAAAACTCCTGCCATAACTTGATAATAGTGATCACTTTTGTAACGATTTAAAACAATACCCAGCTGTTTCGCATCCTCGATATTCCATGGTAATTTAATGTGTTGTCTTTCTTCCCTAAAAACATAAAGACTTCAGTAAACAAAGAGATATTATTGTAACAATTAAGCTTACTCGGTAACATTTGGGAATGTTCGGTAAACCATAAATAATGCAAACAAGGAACTAATGAAAATTATTAATACAGCAATAGTTGCGAACCTAGTAGAGACCAATTCCCCTTGGGCTTCTAAAAAATAAAGAAAACGTGCTTTAATGATGTGATCAAGGTGAAAGCAATAAAACATTTAGAGAAATTACAAAGATTGAGGTTAAAATTTACTTCTACCTACTAGAATTTGTATTTATGGGAAATTGGGTAGTTTCTGATTCAGGCATGGATAGGAGGAATCTAGGGTGTTCAGGTAAATCCAATCTTATAAAAGTTCTTCTATAAGAAGATCTTCTTCGAATAAGGAAATTAGACTTAAAAGGACAATGAATTCGATCAGTGGTAGAGCTAACATCACCATACTGTAGTATGTAATTACCCTGGGAAGTCATAATGTGTCTTCTATTGAAATATATATACTTCTCACTTTCACCTACACAAAAACATTGCAAAATTAAAATTTTGAAGTTTACTTTAACTTCAATTTTCAAGTCAACACAGCAACCTCCGATCTCCGATACGCATGCGTAAAAAATCATCAGATAGACGGATCATATGATTTGTTCATTTAATTAAGGCTGCGTTCCTTGTAAAGATCTTAACCTTGGAGTATATACTACTGGAGGCAGCCTCTCAGTGGCTGAGAGTGTAGCGGAGGTTTAGAGAGAGAGAGAGAGAGAGATAGGAGGGTACTTGCTATCTCTCTCTAGTAGTACGCGATAGCATGTTACTAGAGAGAGATAGCACATACACTCCTATACCTCTCTCGCTAAACCTCCGCTACACTCTGTGCCACTGGCACGCTGCCTCCAATAGTATATGCTCTAAGATATTAACGATCGCAAAGAGACTACTAAATGGGGTGTCCCTCCCTTAGTTATGTGCCTGTTTAACTGATTACAACTGTAATCAGATGGCAAATTATGCTACAGAAATGTAGCAAAAATGTAGTACTTACCTATCAATCAGTTATTCTTTTGTCTGATCTGATATCATAAGTACCTACTTCTTAATTATTTATGTAAGTCTGAACGCGGTTTTGTTAATGGTTGCATTAAAAAAATTATATCGATAAATAATCGAACAATGTGTTATTGAATGCTATTTTTTTCATCGTTTTCTGTATTCGATTTTCGATTAGTAAGTGCGATTGTGCGATTACTTGCATTGAATCATTGAACTATAAAGTTCAATGGTGAAAAATTACATTTTACATGTTTCCTCCTCTCTTGGTTGTGTTATGCTTGTCATTGAAGTTTAGTTTCAATTGAAAAATATTCGTATATAAATATAAAAAATCTTTAGAAAGGTGGGAGAACATCTAACCTCAACAAACAGATGTGAGAAAAAGGTGCATTCAGAAATATTAAACAATGGTCGTCAGTTCTGTTGGTACAATGTAGCCAATGATTTAGGACCGTCTCAGTCAAAAAGTGGAGGAAATCTTTCTGTTCCAAACACACATTTTTGTCTCCAGTTTTGAGAACCACAAATTCGTTTTTTCAGTTAGAAATATGTGCTAATGACGGGTTTAGATAATGACAAATTGAACCAAAATATTTTGTTATACAAAACTTTG